TAAAATCTATTAAAGTTTTTAAGGACATTTAATTATTGATATCGAGACGACAACCATTTAGTATTTCAAGCACTATCAAAATCGATGAAAATGACAATCGTTCTGTAAAAAGTAAAAATGCGAGTTATAGACTCAATATTTTTTATGAAACTGGATATTCAAGTTTCTTTTTTCTTCGGAAAAACAGATCTTTAAATCCATTGAAATGACAAAAAAAAGACAAACACTGTCTGACATCGTTTGAAAATTTACCTTATGATGTAAGAAAAATTTTTTCTTGAGTATTTTCTCGTCATATTTTCTTATTTTATTGTTTTATTAGAATACAGTGTAATTTTCAGTTGGCCTTTTTTCGTTACAAGTTGTAAGTTACAACGAACTCACTTAGTAAAGTTTCAGCTGTAAAAAAACAGCAGATTTGAGCATGCGCCAGGTCCCTTAGCCAACCAGAATTCAAAACTTCTTATATAAAAGTGTATTGTATGTTTCGCCATCTGAAGATAGGCGGAATACGTGGAGAAATCGCGCGAGTAGGCATTGAAATGAGTGAGGAAAGGCAGTTGCTAGGTTACAAGACAAATCTCGAGATTTTGCGGTATTACGATTACGAACCACCGAATAAAAGCGTGCAAATGAACGAATAAAATATAATATTGAAAATTGTTTGTGAAATAATGTATATCTCATCTCCAAATAGAATATTTATTATTTTTGGGGAAATTTTTAGTCCCGCCGGACGGGAGTAGCGGGACCGCTAGCTACGCCACTGATGTTGTCCTTGTATAACTTAAACAATGTTCTATCTTGATCTCCTGCTGCGTGTGTCAAATCACTTACAAATTCATTAATTACAAAATTTTTGTGATTATCTAATTCTTGAATTTATCTTCGCTTGAAAATATTGTCACAATTCAGTTTTAAAGCCGAAAATTATAATAAATATCTCGTTGGTAACCAGATCATTGGAATTTGAACTAATCTGGAATAATGTTGAGTGACTGACTAATAAGTAGGGTGGCATGACTGGTTTAACGTTTAAGAGAGTCCATGAACGCTCATATGATTCGATATGAATCATTTCATAGGTCAATAGCCGGATCAGTTAGACGATTTGACTGATCTGGAATGATCTTGACTGATAAGCGGGATGGTCGGACCGATAAGCAAGTCCAAGTGCTATCGTGTAATTTGTTCGTTTAAATTTTTGTCTTATTGTGATTGGTTTGACAGATTTCAAATGATGGCCTACTGAACGCATACAGTCAAGCTTTCTGTCTTAGTGGAAAGTTTGATCGTTTCATAGTGATTTACATAGAAAACATATTTACTTGTTTCTATTGAGTTATATGAGAAATATGCAGGAAAGTTAGGGCAACAGGAAAAATTGCGTGGCTACGGTGGCTCACAAGGGCCACCACATAAAATAAAAATATTAATACACACACAAAATAAAAATACACACACAAAATAAAAATACACACGCAAAATACATTATACACACACAAAATAAAAATACACACACAAAATAAAAATACACATACAAAATAAAAACACACACACAAAATAAAAATACACACACAAAATAAAAATACACACACAAAATATGATTGCGGGCGCTTGCAGTGTCGGCTTACTCGGAATTGCTCGTAACTGATCGTTTTTGTTTTCAAAGTTCTAATGGTTCCAACTCCAGAGTACATAATAAAATTCATTGATTTCATTGTGATCAATTATTTCAAAGTTGCTTACGATATTGCTCCCCGTATTCTGGTTAAAATCAAGGTTAATGTGTTGTCCTCGTTGCGGCAACAATTCCGGCTCAGTCTCGGAATCAAACACGTACTGTGATGATTGTTTATCAGAGGAAAACATTACACGCTTGATAACAGGTTATTTCAATCGTGGTTATCCGTATGGGGCAATCGTCAGACTTTTGCAAACCTCCGGTATTCTGATGTCTATACGGACGTTGAAGCGCCGCTTCAGATCTTTGGACTTAAGACGAAAAGGACAAGTCGTTGATGAACAAAATTTAATAAATGTTATAGAGTATATAAAAGCCTAGGAGCAAACGCTTGCTGGCACCTCGACGGTAAGATTACATTAATGTAGTTTCTATGAATTTTTAATCAAACTTATAGATAATGGGGAACAGTTACCCAAACCTAGCTTTTTTGTAGCACATTATTGAGTGCAAATGTCTAACAAACTCTTCCCTTTTTAAGGATATGACAAACTCAAACCATATGGGTTTGCAGTACATGGTGCTGTTTGTGGTTACAGCAGAAGAATTCTGTGGCTTGAGGTTGTCAGATCAAGCAAAAATCCAAATGTAATTGCAGAAATATTTCTTAATGCTGTTAAGGAGTTTGGAGGCTGCACATTGTGGGACAGAAAATGTTTTATTGTCTGCAATGCAATGCTACCTGAGAGCTGATGGAGATGATGAATGGGCAGGGGAGAAAGCTCATGTTTATGGATCCTCTCTTTCAAATCAAAGAATTGAAGCATGGTGGTCTTTCCTGAGACGAACTAGGTCAGGCTGGTGGATTGACTTTTTCCAAGATATGGCACAAAAAGGTTTGTTAGAGTTGGGTAATACCTACCACATGGAGACACTGTGGGTTTTTTTTAACATGTTATTTCAAAAAGATTTAACAAAAGTAAAAGATCACTGAAATAGCCACTACATTTGTAGGTCGCAACATGAAACCGTATCAGGAGTTCCAGACATTTTGTTCTTTCTGCCAGAATACTATGTGGGTGAAAACTGCCTAATAGAGATTTCTGCTGATAAGCTGAGTGAAATGGAAGAGAGAATTGACCCATGCATTTGTGAGGACATTTACAAAGAATATTTTGATTATGTCTTGGAAAACAAAAATTTGGCATGTCCTGAAGACATAAATGAAGGATTTGAAATTTTTCAACATTTAATTAATGTACCACAATGAAGTTAGTGTTAATTATATAGATTATCACACAACATAATAAAAGTTAAATAAAGTAAATGGTTTGAACCCAGGAGTATCGTTACATGTTTGTAGATATAGATCGTCCAGGTTAGTAGAGTCTTGAGAAGGACTATTATTGTTGATGTTGACTGACATTTCAACAACCTTAGCAATAAGCATCTTCAGAGTCAAATCGAAACGTCAGTCAACATCAACAACAATAGTCCTTCTCAGGACTCTACTAACCTGGACAATCTACATCTACAAACATGAAAAGTTACTATGTAAGAAGTATTTGGCATAATGATACCCATGCCACAAAGATGAAATAGAAATATACTGTTGCAAAAAGGTTTTTGCAACCAATTGCAAAGCAAATAAAACTATATTATGAAACATGATTTGTTGTAAATTGTTGAATACCATTATGGTAAAATGGTATTCAACGTCCGTATAGACATCAGAATACCGGAGGTTTGCAAAAGTCTGACGATTGCCCCATACGGATAACCACGATTGAAATAACCTGTTATCAAGCGTGTAATGTTTTCCTCTGATAAACAATCATCACAGTACGTGTTTGATTCCGAGACTGAGCCGGAATTGTTGCCGCAACCAGGACAACACATTAACCTTAATTTTAACCAGAATACGGGGAGCAATATCGTAAGCAACTTTGAAATAATTGATCACAGTGAAATCAATGAATTTTATTATGTACTCTGGAAGTTGGAACCATTAGAACTTTGAAAACAAAAACGATCGATTACGAGCAATTCCGAGTAAGCCGACACTGCAAGCGCCCGCAATCATATTTTGTGTGTGTATTTTTATTTGTGTGTTTTATTTTGTATGTGTATTTTTATTTTGTATGTGTATTTTTATTTTGTGTGTGTATTTTTATTTTGTATGTGTATTTTTATTTTTTGTGTGTATTTTTATTTTGTGTGTGTATTTTTATTTTGTATGTGTATTTTTATTTTGTGTGTGTATTTTTATTTTGTGTGTGTATAATGTATTTTGCGTGTGTATTTTTATTTTGTGTGTGTATTAATATTTTTATTTTGTGTGGTGGCCCTTGTGAGCCACCGTACGTGGCAACCTGCAAGTACAAGCACGAAGTGCGAATGTTTCCAAGTAATTTTGAGTTTCCCCCAAATATTCATAAATATAAAAAGTTTTAAAATAGGATTTATTGTGAGATTTTGACGCGTTTATGACGTTGTTATGTTATGACAAATATTGTCAAATGGATATTATGGATTACATAAATTAAAAAGTTATAGGAAGAAAAATATTGTGAAAGTAGAAGGGATCGAGTGGAATAGAAATGCATTGGACGTCAAGAAAGGCTGGTATTTATTGATTAGCAGGCTCTCATAAATGGAGAGTTTGAAGGGATCGTGGGAAGAGGAAATTATTTTAAACTCGTCAAGGTCGACACAAGGAATTGTGTCAAGATGTTTCATGCAAACTTTCCAAAACTTTGTTACCTCGGCTCTCCCTTCGTGACACAGTTCTCACACTTGAAATCGTTGTTGTTTGCAACAATTTTACTGTTAGATAAACCATTGGAAGTCTGACTATCTATTCTACCAAAGATTTTTGTAGATCGTGCGCGCTGATGACTTTAGCGACGTTTTCCTAACTGTTCAGTTTTTTTGATACATGCCCCCCGTAGAGTATTTCCACGCTCACAAATCATTTCCATTTAAAAAACTTAGCCGAATAAGACTTGCTGTTATGGTAGAGATTGTATGAACATTAATTTTGAAAAGAGCCCCAGCTTTCTATGAGTTCTTAAGAAATAAACTAACTTCTTGGTACTGTCCTGTTTGAGGCATACGCAAAACTATATAATCTAATTTACTAGAGCCGACCTCTCATCCTTTTTTAATTTTCAAATTCATGGAATGAAACAAATTTATGATATGAAACAGATAATGCTTGATTCTGTAGTCGTAATATAGATGATGCGCTGTACAGCTGTACAAACATTGTAATTGAGATTGTGTCTTATTCTTTGTACTGCGTTCATCTATTTAGATTGAATTATTCAAGACTTATTCGCTTTGTAATGGGTATTGGTGCTGACACTTTAAGAAAATTTTTCAAAAGTATCCATGTTAACTGGGGGAATCAGCCATCTGACGCCAGTGCTCTTAAGAAAGGTTCCTTACAACTGTTACCTTATCAAGAAAAAGCATTTTATTCTGGTGATATCAATGAATGGGATGTGGCTTTGCTTATTAGGGTATTGAGGTTTACCACCAAATGTGCAGCTAAAGTAAGAAGAGATTCAAATATAGACAATGCTTTACAAGGCATTGCCACTGTACGCAATACGATTTTTCATGCACGTGATGAAAAAATGAGTGATGATGATTTTGAAAAGCAGTGGGAGAAGCTGAAAGCCAACTTTATTGTCTTAGGTTGCTCTGAGACTGAAATTGATGAAGTATCAGTAGGTAATCTTAAAAATAAAGCATATAAATGCAATCTTAAGAGCATCTTACTTGGTATACTATATGCTTTACTTGAACTTATAGATAAAGTTGCTTTATTTTCTTTAAAGCTGTTTATTCGTTTACTACCAAGACAATGCACCTTTATTTTTGTCATATTTCAACTTATTTGCATACCTTTCTTTAATAAAGATCACACTGAAAGAAGTTTACAACAGTACAAAATGCTATTTTTGGAAGAAGTAGCTGCTCTTCAACATTATTACAAAAAAAACTGTTCTGATGCTGAGATAAGGAAGGGTGAAAAACAAGAGGAAGACGTGCAAGATGCTATCCCAAATCCTGAGTGGGATGGCTGGATTCAACTTCTTCGTGGAATGAATAATTTTAACCAATCACAAACAAATTTGGTATTAGTGTCAGACGTGATGACGTCAGACGAATCAGAAAATTTTAAGGTTTTAGCGGCTGTACCATGGAGTATGGTAATTGATTTTGATCCAAATTCTGAAGATGAAGGTTTGTATAAGATTTTCGATTCTCAAGCATTACTCCCACTTATGCTTCAACCTTTCACACCTGGCAGGATAGGAAAAATTAATGTATCTGAATTACAGAGGAAAATTGACTCCAAAAGAATACTGTGGCTGTTTGCGAATGGAAGAAAAATCGACGATAAAGAAAGTCAGCCTAAATTTTTTCCAGCCTGGGAAAGGCAGGATGTAAAAAATATTGCAAAGTTTTTTGTCTGTTGTGCTGATTCGTTCGATAAACAAAAGCCAATAAGATGTCTTGCTCTTCCAATATCACCATCAGCGTTGCCCTTCGTCGAAGTTACAATGAAGCGATTTTTCGAACACTTTTCAGATTTCAATATTTCATCAATTTCCATTGATAACAGTTGCGAAAACTCCAGCTTGAACAAGGACATTCAAGTGTTTGCTATGTCATCTAGTGACTTAAACAAAGGGATGAAACAATTGTTTAATTTTCGTGAAGATTCCCTAAAATATGAGATGCCCTGTTTCCAGTCTGAGCTTCGTGTCTCTTTAACACAGAAAAATTATGTGTACATGAAAGAGTATTTAAAACTGTTCTACATTGGCTGCGAACAAAAGTTCATGTATCCAGATGATGAAAAAAAACAAAAGAAAACTATTGAAGAACATCGAGCAAGCTTTCTCTCTGGTAATTCGATCTCGTTTCTCAGCTTGTACTTCAACCATGATGCCAAGCGTTCCAAGGAAAAAGATATTGAAATCCACATTCAACGCATGATTGATCAGCGTTTGCTAAAGCACAGCAGCATCGTTCAAATTGCTCACTCTCCTGGGACTGGGGGCTCCACAATTGCCAAAAGAGTGCTTTGGAATCTTCACAACAATTTTCCGTGTGCATCGGTAAAGCTTTCTGATGATTTTAATTTCGAAGATGAAACAAATTTTTTGCCAGAGTTATCAAATCGAATTGCTACTTTGGAAGATGAATGTGGGGTATCCCCAGTTATTCTTGTAGATGGTCGACGGCAGTGGAAAGTCGATTTGTTGAGCCATAGTATTGTTCGCTCCTTGAATAGTCTTGGAAAAAGAGCAGTTATTCTTCAGTGCTGTCATGGTAGCAAAGTTTCACCAAACGGAGATGTGCACAAAGTGTTCCAAATTAATTCAAACTTGGAAGATAATCCTGATGATCTAAAAGAATTCAAAGAAAAATATAACGTAAATGATCAAATAGCTCGTCGAGTATTTCATTTTCCGTTACTGTCAATGATGAAGGAATTTTCTGCAAAACTTAAGGAAATTGTGACAAACACGTTGTATGACCTGAGTGATCTAGAGAAAAACATAGCAGGCTTGGTGGCCTTTCTGCAGATATATGCCGATCAACCCACTCCAGCTTTTCTCCTGTACGAAATGTTCAGATCTCAACTTCGTATCGACAAAGGTGTTCAGGTCACATATCAAGATATCAAGAAGTGTTTTTCCAATGATTTACTTAATCTCATGATTCGTCAAGAGAGGGAGAGTAACGCCAGATATACTCTTCAGCATCATGTTGTAGCAACTATTCTTTTTAAAAAATATCTGGAGAAAAGACGACAAAATTTGTACGAATATGTTTTTTGGTTTTTGAACTCTTCTCCTATTAACAATATGAATAAATTTGTTGAATTATATTGCGACCTTTTTCTTTTCAACAAAGGTGGGACGAAAGAACGAAATTTTTCATTTTTGATCGAAGAGTTAGGATCCTTCAGTAAAACGAAAACTGCCAAAATCTTTCGTAAAGCTGCTGAAATCATTCCTGATCCTCGACCTTGTGGACATGCTGCCCGCTATCATGCCAGAATGTCTCCTCCAAAGTTTCAAGAAGCCGAAGAATTAATATCAAAAGGAATTAAATTATCTGAAACTTATGGCAGGGTGAAGAGTATTCACGACAGCAAAGGTATATTGCTTTCCATCATGTTGCGGCACAAGGTTCAATATAATGAAATAAAGGACATAGAATGTTTGGAAAGCTTGGCCAATATTGCAATTTCCGAGTTTCGATTTGCTCGAGATTTCCCTCCAACATTTACTTCTCCTCTACTAGGTGAGGTAGATGTTTGGACTTCCTGTATTCAATGGATCATCCAAGATCATGATTCAGATGTAGAGAAAGCTGTGAAATACATTTTGAACGGAGCACCGTCATTTTTTCGAACATGTATTAGTGATTCGTTTAATCTTCTTGATATTGTTGATGATATTATGTTTTCCACAGTATCAATTCAAGCCGATTTATCTGAGCTTCGACAACGTACACAAAATTTACGGTTGACTTTGATATGCTTTTTGACCAATGAGGGATGGAGAAATCGCAATAGAGTTTTTAAAAGTCATGGTAATGTTTTTGCCTTCATAGGCAATTATAAATTACCAAAAATTAGTTCAAAAGAGGCAAAACGTATAAGAGCCCAGGTGCTACTTAAATCAAATCGGAATCAGCCTTTGAAAAAAAATGAAATGAGTGAGTTGATGAAATTGTTGAATGATCTTGTGATTGATGGAAAGGAAGTTTCTTTTGCTTCCAGTTTCATATCACTGAGTTTGGAGGGAAATGGGCCAAAGTTTCAATCCATGGAGAGACTCTGGAAGGTGTGTCGTGATTGGTTGGAAGTACCAAATTTGCTGGATCCAAAGCGATTTTACTTTACTATGGTAATGGCGTTCATTCACATTTTGAATGGTGAAGATCGCAAGGAATACATTGCTGAGTACAAAAGGATGGTGACTAAACTTAAAGAATTGTCACGTACACATTGTAGAAGTTATCGATTTGTACATTTCTTGAAGAAGAACGGCAAGGGAGAATCGCAACTTGTGCCTGCCTCTGACTACTTAAGCTACAAAACAGAAGATCTGGAAACTGAAAGTTTTTGGAAGGAATATTCTAGACAGAAGCTAAAAGAATGTGCTGGTAGACTTCGTGTTCATACCAAGGGAACAAAAAAGGTCACAAAGATCGAGCTTCTTGAAGGTGGTATTGAACTGCACGTTAACAAAGATGATATTGGTGTTCCAGATAAAGATTTTAATGAAGATTCAAAAGTTTATTTTGTCGTTGGCTTTCAGTTAATTGAGCCTGTTGCAAAGGGAATTACATTCCATCCTTATGAACAGTCTAAGAAAACTTGATTGAATGTTGTGGTAGAATTTTGCAAGATTTTTTCGATTTGTTATGTATCTCTTTAATATAAAAAAGGAAACTCAAAAATATGTCATATATATATACAAGTATAATATCTATAATGAAAGCGTGTGATTAACAGTTAACGATCGTGAGTAGCACTGTTTTAAACCCAATAACATCAGACATTTTTTTAATTTATGCAGTTTTTACTTTGCCAGTCGTGTAGTGATGCTTATGGTTCTTCCACGAACGTTTGTATTTAATGATTTTATGAACAAAACTTTTAATTTTTAGAATTAATATACATAATATAAGTGCTGGTAGCGATGTACATTGTAACTTTTGCTGGTAACGATGTACATTGTAACTTTTAAATTTGATAACTAAAAACATTACTACAGTCAATATCGATGTATGTCTTCTATTTCTATTAGTTTCGCAAGATGAAATGTTCGATAAGCGATGTGCTCTTTGAGTATTATTTTAATATTTTTAATAAACGCGCATTTCCAATGACATTCTGACTTATTAGAGTGCACAAACTTTAAACTCGGAGTTGTTTTACAATAGGGAAGATTCTGGTGGTCCTCTGCGTGAGCAGTACTTGAGCATGGGACCATGGGACCATTGAAGTAAATATATCTGCAATGCTAACTCCTATAGTTTTGTCCCATGATTGGCTGAAGCCAAAATACAACCAAAATTATCTAGTCAAAACAGTAACAATTTTAGTAAAAATCTTTTATAAAGGACTGGGTCTACCTACAAAAATAGCTTCAACATTGGCTTTAATTTCCCCCTCCCCTGAGTTAGCATTCCAGATATATTTACTTCAATGCATGGGACAGCCAATGTTTAGTGAGTAGAGTGATTAGTGATCATTGAGTTCTATTCTATTAGCATCTACCGCAGAAATCCCACGAGATACTACGCATGCGCACATTGGTCATTCTCTACCCTGCTCACCGCCATTACAGATGGCGTGTTTGGTCATATCCGAATAATCCATAAAATAATTTGCCATCCTGCGGTGTAGAACTACAAAAAAGTTTTAAAAAACAATACAGGACAAAAAACCTACATAACCACTGAGTTCGCCCGGCAAACTCTTTCTGTGGTTAGATAATCTATTCAACAACGAATGACACAAGTCTGCGAAGAAATTGAGCAAGGAGACGACTTGACGCTCTTGCATAACCATTCTAATCCGACGCTGTCGGGCTTATTAGGAGACATGAATGTAGACGATGGACCGGAACTGAAACAGTCTCTTCTACAAGGGAAAATGAGCAAATCTGGCGGGGCTGGGTATAAACACCCTGCTAAAGCCAACAACAAGAATCTCCTAGAAGAAGGAAATGACGGGAGAACTACTTTGGACGACCTTAACAGGAAAGTCGATCAACTTACTGGCTTGATGAATACTTTTGCTTCTGTCGTAAAAGAGCTTAAGCAAGGCTTATGATGCTGCACGCCAAATGAACGATGGTGTTGATATGTCTGAAGGTGAAACTGATGACGAACATCAACCAACGGGGCTGCTGCTGTAGTTGCAGATACAGCTCTTGCTCTAGCAAACCAAAGCGATGCTTTGGTAGATGAGCTGATTCACGAAGTGACTGAGAATGAACCGACAGACCAACCATTGCCAACTAAAATTTCTAAAATCCTGACCAGCATTTTGTCCACTGGACTAAACGAACAAACATTATCAAAACAGAAGGAAGGGGTAAAACGCCCGGAAAACTGTGACCTGTTAAGAGTTACAAAGGTGAACCCAGAAATTTGTTACATTGCTAGGAAGTCCACCTGTAGCCATGGATGCACGTCTACAAAAATTACAAGAAGCCTTAGTAAAGAGCCTCATTCCGATTTCCCGAATCGTGGTAACGATTAGTACCTCTCTTGGAACAAACCCTACAGTATCTGCACCAACACCAGAGGTTATCTGGGTTGGGCTGTCCACATCTATTGTGCTTCTCGCTTCAGCTAATCATGATCTGAACATGTTCTGCAGGGACTTGTTCAAAGTTGACCTTGATGAAAATTACAAGGCAATCTGTAGTAACAAAGAATCTGTTGCTGCAGAACTGTTTGGTGATGATTTAAAGGAACGCCTGAAAACAGTAAAAGAAAGTAAAAAGGCTGCACAGCAACTGACAAGCCAAAAACGGAAACGCAACGATCAACGGACGACCAGCTCATATAATTCTAATGTGCCTTTTTTATTCCAACGTTGGGGCGGTCATTTGCAAAGCTGACCCCAACGACGCAACTGTCATTAAAACCAACCCAAAAGGAAAGTCGAGACAAGGGGAAAAACACTAAGAAAGCAGTGACTCCTACTCTCGACCGTGTAAGTTTAATAAACACGAGTGTAGTACTTCTATTATATCTGGGAGAGACAATGATTGTAGTATATTTTCTATGTTTTAATCATTCTTTGCCACTAAATTTTTTTCTAAATTGGTTCTGCTTTCGGTGACTTTGGTTATTGACTATATTCATTGACAGATACAGCAGGATACTACTGCTTGTGAATTTGTCGAAGATAATGCTATTCATTTTGTGTTGACCGGCGAAGCATTACAAATGCTAATTGCAATCATTCGCCTGATTATGAAAAAGATTGGGAACTGCCCGTGACAGTTGTGAATGGAAAGGTTTGTCAATTGATTATTAATACAAGAGTGAATAAGCAAATATGCTGTTGCCATGGCATCATTTCGATGCTTTTTAACTGAAATATATAAAATAATCGTACAGCTCTAAAATTCCTGAACGACATCCATAAATTTGCTAATATATTGAATATATTGAATAAGTTTTTTGAAGGTTTTTGAAAAGTTTTTCTGGGTATTTGTTTTGGGATCAATTCATACTAAAAATGTCTCGCACCAGACTTCTCTCACTGTTATATCTCGTATCAGACCTCTCTCACTGTTATATCTTGTACCTCTCTCAATGTTGTAACCATTGGTTTTATCTTGTACCAAACCTCTCTCAATGTTATTAATTATTACCATTTTTAGATAAAGATGAAGCAGCTTTGAATGGAAATCAAACTATATTCATAGACAATCCTTTACCATCAAAAACGATGACACCAAGAGAAGTGAATGTGATGTATTTTGGCGATGAGCTGTGCCGAATGTTGAAGAAGCCTTTAGAAAGTAATAACGACAGTGGAAACCAAACATATGCAGCAAAGACTCAAAACAATTGCATAGAAGAAAGAGATTGCCGTGAATCGGTTAAAAGTGATTGTAATTTAGTAAAGGAAGCCATGGTAGACGATAATGATTTGACTATTTGTGAAGAAAATATTCCAATAGGAAATGGAAACAACTTGTTTTCTGATTCTTCCCTAAAAGATGCTTTCATTGTTGACGACAAAATATCTAATGATAGTTATGAGATATTGCAACATGAAGATATGGACAAGGAAAAAATTCAGAATTTATCCCAATTCACCTACAGTCTTTGGACATTTGGCACACTTGTTAATAAAAACATGTGATTGTGGCTTGCTTCACCAACCAAATAGAAAATCAGGACGAGGTGCTTTACATCCAGTCAATATATTTATCAAACCTGAATATCAACTTTGTTATGGATATGAAAAAATAACTATGAGTGAAGCATCAAGATGTTGGATAAATACTTACTGCAACCCAGAGTCTGTCTGTGTTTGTGCTCGAGTGTCTTTTTTAACTGGAGAATTGTTGAAATTGGATGTTCTTAATCAATCAGACATTTTAGCTCTTTCTTCCTTTGATCCTGCTAAGCCAATGAAGGCAATTCATGGAATTTTCACACGGTTGCAAAAACTATTGCTGCCAGGCAAATACATTTTGTCTCATTCGGCAAATGATTTACACATTTGTGTTTACAATGTAGCAAAGGACGCGACAAAGAAGTCCGTATATGACCTTCATCTTGCTCACTCAAACAATTTCTTGGTACAGTACGATAAAAATGTCCCTTGGGTTCCTGTTGATCCCAACATTTTTCTGGACTGGCATATTGCTTTTAATCGCATTCCCTTGACGTTTCCGCCAGTGTCCACCGACAAATCAAGAAAGGTTCATTTGCAAAATGCTGGTCAAGGAAAGAAAAATAGTAAGACAAGCAAAAAAAAGGAGAAAACCATGTTAATTTTAATGTTGGAATACAATCAAAGAACAATACATTTCAAATAAGTGATGAACAAGAGATAGCTGGCATAGCTGAGCAAAGCAAGACCAGTTACGTATGATATCGATTTTAATTTCTAAATTAAATGTTGGTCTTGAAATTGAGTAACGATGTTGATAGTTCTGTTAAGAAATGATAATTCAACTGTTTTTTATACTGGTAAAAATTGTCATTTTATTTATGTATATGAAAAAATGACGATTTAAACTTGACCCCTATGTTTTGTACATCAATGTTAGTATAGGTTAGTTTGCAAATTGTATCAAATTGTGTTAGCTAGATTCCTCAGTCTAACCACGTTAAAAACGTCATTTAAATACCTTTTTAGCTTAGTCTCAGGCCGCTCTCGGTTCCTCCGAAAATTAATTATTAACATTGGTTACTATGTAACCTAATAATAACATATTGAATGGTCCAATAGATTTTTGTTATTGTTACGTCATTGTTTCAATTTCCATTATTTTCGGACAATTCCAAGCATTTAGAGCATTGACTGTCGACAACCTGCAGTCTATCGAAAATCAAACGTTTCATTGAGAAAGCTTTGTAAAAAGTAAACTTGAAGGTAAGTTTTTGAATTATTTGTACTAAAATAACTACAATGTGTTTATATTTTTCTATACTGTGCCTGTATTTAAATTTAATACATGGCGAACCGGTGAAAGCATTTTCGCGACGTCTTTGAAAATTGGAAAGACATAACAAGCACAGACAGTGCGATTACTAAGCTGACGAACTGTAAAATGAAATATGATCCCCACAAATTGACAATTTTTTAAATAAGCTTTATTTTTTACTATGTATTGCAATAAAATATAACAGGTGATCATCCACTTCCTTGTAAAGAAAGAGTTTTTGAAGCAAAAACATTTCAGAGTTTTCAAATTTTAAAGAATTTTAACTTTTAAGGTTTCAACGACAAGGAAGAAAAAGCGAAATTCTTTGAACGCATTCGAGTAGTTTAAGGAAGCATCATTTGTTTTCGTGATACGCAACTTGTTATTTGAAATCACAGCAGGCAATTATAGAACGAACAAATGAGCATGCTCAAAATGAGTTCTTTTCATAATTGTTTGCTCTGTACACAGAAATATGCGAGCGGTTTTTAAAACCGCTATGTTATACAGGAATTAGTTATTAGTGTTTATTAATGTTTACCCATTTGGTAGAAATATCAAAAGAAAGAAAGGGAAAGAATAAAAGGAAGAAGAATGTCAACCTCAAATGGATCAAAATCATCATGTTCTTCCTATGCGTCTTTATTTACTGGTAGGTAAAGGCAAAGAACGATCATATTGTTTTAGTAACAGCAGTAGACCATAAATTGTTCAGTCAAATTTCTTTTTACTGTTTTACTTTGACTTTTTACATATTTTGTTTTACTTTTTTGTTTATCTATTGTTTTCATGTTACTTGGAAATTGGAGTATGTAATCATGCAAAAATTGTGAAGTTTAAGTTACATTAATAATTTTTATTTCAAATTGTAGAAAAAGATAAAGCGATTTCTAGTGACGAAAATGAAAGGTAAAAATGATGTTGTCCAGTGGCATAGCCAGGAAAAATAGTAACTCCCACCCCCCAATGTTGTGCCGGAGGTGCGACCCCCACTAGGAGGGTCCGGGAGCATGCTCCCAGGAAAATTTTGACATCCAGAGCCTTGGAAACAGCATTTCCTGTGATTTGGAGGGCAAATTATTTGTTATACAATAAGTTATAAACACCCGTTTTTATTAGCTTCATTCTTAATGTGGCAATCGTCAAAACTGCAACTAGTTAAAAAGGTACTAAAGGTGGCTCAGAGAAACGTTACGCAGGAGACAATTGTCCCCTAAAACATAATGAATCGAACTCATCACTGCTCCTAAATAAACAGAAGAAATTTGGATTAGCACAAAAAATAACATAGTATAGGACACTTCCTAAAATGCTTCTCCTGTGGAACTATGTCCTTCCATGTAGTAAATAGTTTAGGATTTACAAGATCTAAAAACTCAAACTGATTAATATCTTGAAATCATTCACTTTACATGCCTTTAATGGATCAATAATCTCAAAATAAAGCTGTTTGTGATTGTATCTACTATCTGCTCTGGTTGCTGGTGGGCCTACTTTTTCTAGTACAGTTTGGTAAAACTTGGTGAAAGCTTCATCTGTGTGAAGTGATGCAATAAACTGCTTGAAATTGTCAATCTTGCTTATGCCATAGTTAAAATGGGTTTCTCTATATTGAAGAATGAAATATGAAATTGTGGACTGTTCTAAAATCCTGTAAAAAACACATACTAGAAAACAAAAGAGAAAGCTATCAAGATAATGCAGTAAGGCACTTATTTTACTTAATGACTCATCATCCCACCCAGCTGGTTGGTCAAGTACCCCCCCAAAAATATTTAAAAGTTTTTCATAGTTTTTTTGCAATACATTGATTAATCCAGAGCGATAATACCATCTTGTTTCACTAGTGGCATTAAACTCAAGGTTGTTTGATGTGAGAAAAGCTTTTCTCTTTGGGGCATTGCTTGTAAATGTGCTGAATGTACCTATATTAATGAAAAAGATTTTAACAGGAGAAATTGATGAGGCTGACTGGCATAGGACCAGGTTCAATCTATGAGCTGCACAATGAACAAAATGGGCAAAAGGATACTCTTGTCGAACCAATGCTTGAAGATCATTGATATGGCCAAACATGACAGAAGCACCATCATATGTTTGCAAAACCAGTTTTTCTTCTATATCAGAATACTCACCAAGTTTATCTTTGACAACTTGTGATATTGCTGTGGCATTTCTGTTCATACTTACATCCACAAATCCTTGCTTTGTCAAACCGAGCAATAACACTTAGCTGCTCTTTGATGGACACATCAGATGCTTCATCAACCTGAATACTCATAAATGTGCAATCATTTATTTCCTTTCTGATTTCATCTTCATTAATTGAATCAAGATAGCTGATAAGATCATTTTGAATTTCTTGGAAGACTTCAGTAAATCTTCTGTCACCAACTATATCAGATTCTGCTAGTCTACTGTGCAGTCGACGCTCGAATACAGAATCAAACTTAGCAAAACATTCGAGCAACTCTCTATAATTACCGTTGTTCAAGCTACCTTCGGACTCATCGTGACCTCTAAATGGCAACTCTTACTTTGACAAATACAGCACGGCCTCAGTAACAGTTTTTAAAATTTCTCGATTTTGTCTTACCTCCTCATTGTCACGCTTAATCTCATTTCTTCTCGCGAGGGACATAAGACAATCAATTCGTTCACTAGATCCATACATTTTCCATGTCTTAAAAGCAGTCAAATGCGATTTAGATTTTTCATGCTTCTTAGCATCAGACGACATAATACTCCGCATATCGTTGTAGCCATTCTTAGTCCATGATGGCGATGTTTGCGGGGAAAACATTAGACATGTCTGTAATAGTTTTTAATGCTAGATTTTTGAGTTCGGTTTCTTTGTATATATCGTGCGCGTGCTAAATATCTCTATCTAGAATTCATCCCTCACAAGGAGGTCACGTGGAGTGACATTGACATGCAACATCTTCCGTTTTATCAATAACATAAACGTAGTTATAATATGTGTGCTATAGTGCTGTTTTCAAGCAAGGTCTGTTTACTTTTGCGACATATTGTAGTCTGCGTATCGTGATGGAGTACGCATGGGTCGGCCGTATCGGGATGTTTGATGAGGTGCTAATGACTTGTCGGGATTAGGTTTTGACAGCGTTTGCAGGTCATCATAGTTGGCCTTGACTTTGAATGGTTCTTTTGTTGGTAGGAGGTGACGCCTGTTCCTACGGACCATGTGCCCCTTTTCATTCATGACGAGGTAGGCTGTAGGTTCCTTACACTTCTTGACTACTTGTCCGGTTTGTGCCCAGCTGTTGTCGTTGTTAGTTCGAATTCGGACAGTGGTGCCCGGCTCAATATTGGATAGGTCTCAGGCATGATAATCGTACGCTGCCTTGACGTAAGAGTTGGAGGGAGTGACATTGATTGTTTGACCTTTTGCTGCGGAAAGGGTTGTGCGTGTGTTCCTGTGATACATTTTGTAGGCGGGGGAACTGCCATCATTTGCGGGTGTTGTATTCAATATTAGTAGTGAGAGAAATGGATCATTCTTAGCTTCCTGAGCTTTCTTCACTGTTTGCTTGACTGTTTGGATAGATCGTTCAACGAGACCATTTGATTGAGGGAAGTGAGGACTTGAGTTGTCATGTCGAAAGTCCCATTCTCGAGCAAATTGTTTAAAGGATGAGGCACTGTATTGAGGGCCATTATCGCTGACAACAATTTGTGGTATTCCATGTCGGCTGAAGATTTTTTTTATGGCACGTACAACTGAAGGAGAATCCACTGGCCTTAGTATGTGAGCTACCTCGATAAATTTTGAGTGATAGTCAGTGACTATGACGTAGTCTCGGTTGTAGAGTGTAAAAAGATCTGTGCCAACTTTTACCCAAGGCTGGTCTGGGACTTGATGTAGGATCAATGTCTCCCTTTGATGTCGATTACGATGATTGATGCATGTGGCACATTGAGATACGAGGATAGCTAACTTGTGGTTCATCCCTGGCCAATACACGGCATGACGGGCCCGGTTTTTGCATTTTTCGATTCCTTGATGCCCTTCATGTATAATCTCTCGGATTTCACGACGCATCGAGGTAGGTATGATAATTTGCTGTCCTTTTAGAAGGAGGTCGTTGTTGTACATGATTTCATGACGTTGGTTATAGAATGGTTTTACAGTGTTGTTAATTTCGTCTTTGGATGGCCAACCATTGATTGTGTACTGCTTTAAGATCTGTAGATCTGGATCGATCCGCGTTTCACGTTGCAACTGTGAAAGTCTTCATTCGCTAATTGGAAGTGTATTGATGACCGAGTGGACGTGATGAGCCATTTCCTTTGGATCGATCTCTGGTTTACTGTTGAGAGATGCTTGACTGAGCGCATCATCAACTTACATGGTTTTACCAGGTGCATATTCAAACGTGAAGTCGTATTTTTGCAAGCGAAGAAAAAATCGTTGTATTCGTGGGGGACATTGCACAATGCTTTTTGAGAAAACTGCTTTTAATGGTTGGTGATCATTTTGAACCACAAATGCATGACCAAAAAGGTATTCGTGGAATCTTTCACATCCAAAAACGACGGACAGGGTTTCGCGCTCTATTTGTGCATAGTTTTGTTCAGACTTATCTAACGCTCTGGAGGCAAATGCAACGGGATTCCAGGTGCTGTTTATACACTGCTCTAGCATTTCACCTAGGCCAACTGAACTGGAGTCTGTTCGCATGCGAATTGGGAGGTTAGGGTCATAAAATTGCTGAACCGGTACAGAAGATATGTGGCGCTTGAGTTTCTCAAAGGAGTCAAGTTGAGGCTTTTGCATGACGAATTCGGTATCATTCTTTAAGAGGGCTCTGAGTGGTGCTGTTTCGTCTGACAAGTTAGGAATAAATTTTCCCAGATAGTTCACCATGCCCATAAATCGCTGGAGCTCAACTTTTGTAGTTGGAATCGGCATTCGAGTGATTGCCTCAACTTTTTGGGGGTCCGGCTTCACTCCATCTGCTGACATGACATGACCAAGAAATGTTAATTAAGTTGCACCAAAGATGCATTTCGACTGGTTAAATTTCAGTCCACTTTCTTTGATCTGAGCAAGGACTTTCTGTAAGCGCTGATCATGGATTTCTTTAGTTTCCCCCCAAACAATTATATCATCCTGAGAGTTGGCACAACCTTCGCAGCCAGCAATGATCTTGGAGATTTCAAGTTGGATCAAAATCTCACTAGCTGAGTGAATGGCATTCTCTTAAACCTGTATCGCCCGAACGCTGTGCCAAAGGTAAGGAGGTCAGAGGTTGAATCATCTACTGCTATCTGCCAATATCCATTACTTGCATCGAGTTTACTGAAGACTTTGGCGCCACTCATTTGAGATATTATTTCTTCTGTGGTGGGTAATCGATAATGCTGGCGTTTTATAGCTTGATTTAAGGGACGGGGATCAAGGCAAATTATTTATAGTTGTAAGGGAAACGCAACTTTCCAATAGAGGGAAAGTGTAAGATATACTTGTGATATACACACATGTACCCCGTATGTAAATTCTATAATTAGAGGCTGCAAATTTTGGGGACATTGCCGTTGAAAACTAAATACATCCACTTCAAGTTGTAAACACATATCGTTTAGGATCATATTTCATAAGCTATGGATAGATTATATAAGTAAAACCGCTTCCACTTTTCCTTGCGCACGATTGACAAGTTTCTTTTACTTAGCAATAGTATGTTTTATATCCATTACATGAGTTGTATCCAAATAAATTTTGAATTAATGGTTGATATTTGTTATGACTTCTACACTTATAGCCAGGGTGTACACGTTCTCTGTTGTCGATAGAAATACCTCATTAGCGTTGCGTAAAATCGTGACTCATGAGCAAGGTGTGTTTGTTCTATGTATCCAAATATAATATTAACATATATAAGTTATGCACTAATCACTATAAAGTAAATGGTTTCAACCCGGGAGTATCGTTACATGTTTGTGAATGTAGATCGTCCAGGTTGGTATAGTCCTGAGAAGGACTGTTTTTGTTGTTGTTGATTTACGTTTTGACAACCTTAGCGGTAGTCATCTTCAGAGTCAAATGAGGAGTAAACGTCAGGTTAGCCGTATTTGTTATCTGGTTCTTACGTCATTGTATTGTTTGTACAGGAAGTTTGTATTGTCATTGTGAATTAGTGTGAAGTGAAATATTTTTATTTTTAGTTGTGATGTGTGATTTAGGTGTGATGTTTTTAGTTGTAATGTGTGGGTGTCGATTGTGTATTGTCATTGTGAATTAGTGTGAAGTGTAATGTTTTTAGTTGATCGTTTGTTTGTATTGTAAGTCGTTTGTAAGGTGCCGGTAATTGCTGTGATCTGTTCAGGGGGGTTTGTTCCAAGTTGGTATACCAACTTTCTAATGTAAGCCGTTGTCTATAGTCAGTACTGTAAGTAATGCATTTTGCCGAGTCCCAGTCAATGTTGTGCTTTGTGATTCGGTGATGTTCGGCAATGTGATTAGTTTTGTCTTGTTTCTTAGTAGCTCGTTTGTGTTCAGTAAGTCTTATGTTTAAGTTCCTGCCAGTTTCCCCGATATAGGAGGCGTGGCAGTCGGAGCAGTTTATTTTGTAAACTGCACCTTGTCGTTCGTTGGGTTGTTCTTTGTCCTTTATGTTCGTTAGTACTTGTCGTAACGTTGTGATTGGTTTATGTGCGACACGTATGTTGTATGGTCGTAAGATACGCGAGATAGTCTCAGAAGTACCTTTGATGTAAGGTATCGTTGCTGTTGTCACTGAGTTGTTCGTTTCGTTCGGTTCGTTGGGTTTGTAAGTGTTGCGTTTGATAAAGTCAGAGTTATAGTTGTTTTTGTCAAAAACACGTTTGAGATAGTTGTTTTCGTTGTGTAGAGCGTCCGGTGAATCACATATGATTTGTCCACGTCTTGTTAATGTTCTGATTGTGGTGGCTTTGTGTGATGTAGGGTTGTAAGATGATTGGTCTAGTAGTCGGTCAGTATGTGTTGGCTTGCGATTAACTGTTGTTCGTAGTTTTTGATTGTCATGTTTTACCAAACAGTCGAGAAAAGGAACAGTTCCGTTTTCTTCGACATCTGTGGTAAATTGTATGTGGCTGTTCTGTTTGTTGATGTGAGTGTGAAAGTCATCAATCTCGTCTGCATCTAGTGCTGTGATTGTGTCATCTACGTAGCGAAACCAAAAAGGTAGTCACTATCGAAAACATAGTTACCCTTTCATTAATACCAAGCATCACTAACCATTCAAGATTTACTTGGATACATCTCTTTTAATGGTAATGAGCCCTTAGTTGCTAAAGAAAAGCAAATTTATAATCGTGAGAAAGTGCAAGTTATACATACAAATAAACCATATCTAATAATTTATATGAACTAGGTTTTACAATTTCAATTGTATAAGAAATTTAACGGCCCTCAAAACTAATAATAATTCCTCTTTTATTAACAACGCATCGTTTTGTATATTTGGATAGGTATAACATAACAAATCTTAAATATGCAAAGCACCGGTTACATATTTTAATGTTGGCAGCAGAGAACTTTGATTCGTAGAGCACATTCAAGTGGGCATACATAGAAATAAAGAATTCCTGAGAATTTAACATCGACTTCTTTCTAACTTTTTCATGCAAAAAAGTGTTTTTTATACCCGCGACACGCGACTTTTTACCCGCGACTATTAAAAGGTCGAATAATTACAACCTCCGCCAATTTATAATAGCAGGAGTTCGACCACTGATATGTATATTAGACTGGATAACGCATCTATTGCGAAAATTGAAGCCGGAAGATCGATCATTTGCTACTGGCTTCATGGGGGGTATCGCTCCCACTTTACTATACTTTTGTATTACAAAATCACAGTTTTCGCGTTTTTATTCCTTTTTCAAACTTCTGATTAAGGCAAAATTTTTACGACATGTAGAGGAAAACTGGTAGAGAGTTTTAACCCTGAAGCTCTGTTTTTTTGGCTTTGTAACGACTGAAAAATAAGATGGCAAGTTGTATTGAAATATGAAAGTTGAAGGTGACGAGTGACAATCTCCGAGAGCGAGTTCCGATGTTCCTTTTTGTGCACATTACTATATTCGACAATTGAACGATTAAAGTGTTGGCATTATAAAAGAAATGCCAAAAAAGATATCGTGTTTGTTGTTATAAATTCTATATCCTTTCCTGTAGACAACAGGGGGAGGTCGAGAATATTTTTTCCTGCAAAGCGAACATTTCAGCGGAAATAGGTCAATTGGCATCCATGTTTTTGGCATCATCGCCTCAGTGCACTTAGCCTCTCCAGTTATTATAGAACTCAATGGTTCGACTATAAAAACGGCAGATTTGAGCATGCGCCAAGTCCCTTAGCAAACCAGAATTCAAAACTTCTTATATAAAAGTGTATTGTATGTTCCGCCCTCTGAAGATAGGCGGAATACGTGGAGAAATCGCGCGAGTATGCATTGAAATGTGCGAGAAAAGGCGGTTGCCAGGTTATAAGACAAATATTGAGATTTTGCGGTATTACGATTACGAACAAACGAACAAAAGCGTGAAAATGAACGAATAAAACATAATATTGCAAATTGTTTGTGAAATAATGTATATCTCATCTCCAAATACAATATATATTATTTTTTGGGAAATTCCTACTCCCGCCGGGCGGGAGTAGCGGGACCGCTAGCTTACGCCACTGATGTTCTCCTTGTATAACTTAAACAATGTTCTATCTTGATCTCCTGCTGCGTGTGTCAAATCACTTACAAATTCATTAATTACAAAATTTTTGTGATTATCAAATTCTTGAATTTATCTTCGCTTGAAAATATTGTCACAATTCAGTTTTAAAGCCGAAAATTATAATAAATATCTCGTTGGTAACCAGATCATTGGAATTTGAACTAATCTGGAATAATGTTGAGTGACTGACTAATAAGTAGGGTGGCATGACTGGTTTAACGTTTAAGAGAGTCCATGAACGCTCATATGATTCGATATGAATCATTTCATAGGTCAATAGCCAGATCAGTGGGACGATTTGACTGATCTGGAATGATCTTGACTGATAAGCGGGATGGTCGGACCGATAAGCAAGTCCAAGTGCTATCGTGTAATTTGTTCGTTTAAATTTTTGTCTTATTGTGATTGGTTTGACAGATTTCAAATGATGGCCTACTGAACGCATACAGTCAAGCTTTCTGTCTTAGTGGAAAGTTTGATCGTTTCATAGTGATTTACATAGAAAACATATTTACTTGTTTCTATTGAGTTATATGAGAAATATGCAGGAAAGTTAGGGCAACAGGAAAAATTGCGTGGCAACCTGCAAGTACAAGCACGAAGTGCGAATGTTTCCAAGTAATTTTGAGTTTCCCCCAAATATTCATAAATATAAAAAGTTTTAAAATAGGATTTATTGTGAGATTTTGACGCGTTTATGACGTTGTTATGTTATGACAAATATTGTCAAATGGATATTATGGATTACATAAATTAAAAAGTTATAGGAAGAAAAATATTGTGAAAGTAGAAGGGATCGAGTGGAATAGAAATGCATTGGACGTCAAGAAAGGCTTGTATTTATTGATTAGCAGGCTCTCATAAATGGAGAGTTTGAAGGGATCGTGGGAAGAGGAAATTATTTTAAACTCGTCAAGGTCATGGAATTGTGTCAAGATGTTTTATGCAAACTTTCCAAAACTTTGTTACCTTGGTTCTCCCTCTGTGACACAGTTCTCACACTTGAAATCGTTGTTGTTTGCAACAATTTTACTGTTAGATAAACCATTGGAAGTCTGACTATCTATTCTACCAAAGATTTTTGTAGATCTTGCGAGCTGATGACTTTAGCGACGTTTTCCTAACTGTTCAGTTTTTTTGATACATGCCCCCTGTAGAGTATTTCCACGCTCACAAATCATCATTTCCATTTAAAAAATTCAGCCGAATAAGAGTTGCTGTTATGGTCGAGATTTCATGAACATTAATTTTGAAAAGAGCCCCAGCTTTCAATGAGTTCTTAAGAAATAAACTAACTTCTAGGTACTGTCCTGTTTGAGGCATACGCAAAACTATATAATCTAATTTACTAAAGCCGACCTTTTTCATCCTTTTTTACTTTTCAAATTCATGGAATGAAATAAATTTATGATATGAAACAGATAATGCTTGATTTGATATAAAAATATTCGTGAAGAGTGTGTTTCAATTCTGTAGTCGTAATATAGATGATGCGCTGAACAGCTGTACAAACATTGTAAGTTAGGTTCTGTCTTATTCTTTGTACTGCGTCCATCTATTTAGATTGAATTATTCAAGACTTATTCGCTTGCTAATGGGTGTTGGTGTTGACACTTTAAGAAACTTTTTCAAAAGTATCCATGTTAACTGGGAGAATCAGCCATTTGACGCCAGTGCTCTTAAGAAAGGTTCCTTAAAACTGTTACCTCATCAAGAAAAAGCATTTTATTCTGGCAATATCAATGAATGGGATGTGACTTTGCTTATTAGTGTATTGAGGTTTACCACCAAATGTGCAGCTAAAGTAAAAAGAGATTCATATATAGACAATGCTTTACAAGGCATTGCCACTGTACGCAATACGATTGTTCATTTACGTGGTGAAAAAATGAGTGATGATGATTTTGAAAAGCAGTGGGAGAAGCTAAAAGCCAACATTATTGTCTTAGGTTGCTCTGAGACTGAAATTGATGAAGTATTAGAAGGTAATCTTAAAAAATAAAGCATATAAATGCAATCTTAAGAGCATCTTACTTGGTATACTATATGCTATACTTGAACATATAGATAAAATTGCTTTATTTTCCTTAAAGCTGTTTATTCGTTTATTACCACGACAATGCACCTTTATTTTTGTCATATTTCAACTTATTTGCATACCTTTCTTTAATAAAGATCGCACTGAAAGAAGTTTAGAACAGTACAAAATGCTATTTTCGGAAGAAGTAGCTGTTCGTCAACATTATTACAAAAAAAACTGTTCTGATGCTGAGATAAGGAAGGGTGAAAAACAAGAGGAAGACGTGCAAGATGCTATCCCAAATCCTGAGTGGGATGCCTGGACTCAACTTCTTCGTGGAATGAATAATTTTAACCAATCACAAACAAATTTGGTATTAGTGTCAGACGTGATGACGTCAGACGAATCAGAAAATTTTAAGGTTTTAGCGGCTGTACCATGGAGTATGGTAATTGATTTTGATCCAAATTCTGAAGATGAAGGTTTGTATAAGACTTTCAATTCTCAAGCATTACTCCCACTTATGCTTTCACCTTTCACACCTGGCAGGATAGGAAAAATTAATGTATCGGTATTACAGAGGAAAATTGACTCCAAAAGAATACTGTGGCTGTTTGCGAATGGAAGAAAAATCGACGATAAAGAAAGTCAGCCTAAATTTTTTCCAGCCTGGAAAAGGCAGGATGTAAAAAATATTGCAAAGTTTTTTGTCTGTTGTGCTGATTCGTTCGATAAACAAAAGCCAATAAGATGTCTTGCTCTTCCAATATCACCATCAGCGTTGCCCTTCGTCGAAGTTACAATGAAGCGATTTTTCGAACACTTTTCAGATTTCAATATTTCATCAATTTCCATTGATAACAGTTGCGAAAACTCCAGCTTGAACAAGGACATTCAAGTGTTTGCTATGTCATCTAGTGACTTAAACAAAGGGATGAAACAATTGTTTAATTTTCGTGAAGATTCCCTAAAATATGAGATGCCCTGCTTCCAGTCTGAGCTTCGTGTCTCGTTAACACAGAAAAATTATGTGTACATGAAAGAGTATTTAAAACTGTTCTACATTGGCTGCGAACAAAAGTTCATGTATCCAGATGATGAAAAAAAACAAAAGAAAACTATTGAAGAACATCGAGCAAGCTTTCTCTCTGGTAATTCGATCTCGTTTCTCAGCTTGTACTTCAACCATGATGCCAAGCGTTCCAAGGAAAAAGATATTGAAATCCACATTCAACGCATGATTGAGCAGCGTTTGCTAAAGCACAGCAGCATCGTTCAAATTGCTCACTCTCCTGGGACTGGGGGCTCCACAATTGCCAAAAGAGTGCTTTGGAACCTTCACAACAATTTTCCGTGTGCATCGGTAAAGCTTTCTGATGATTTTAATTTCGAAGATGAAACAAATTTTTTGCCAGAGTTATCAAATCGAATTGCTACTTTGGAAGATGAATGTGGGGTATCCCCAGTTATTCTTGTAGATGGTCGACGGCAGTGGAAAGTCGATTTGTTGAGCCATAGTATTGTTCGCTCCTTGAATAGTCTTGGAAAAAGAGCAGTTATTCTTCAGTGCTGTCATGGTAGCAAAGTTTCACCAAACGGAGATGTGCACAAAGTGTTCCAAATTAATTCAAACTTGGAAGATAATCCTGATGATCTAAAAGAATTCAAAGAAAAATATAACGTAAATGATCAAATAGCTCGTCGAGTATTTCATTTTCCGTTACTGTCAATGATGAAGGAATTTTCTGCAAAACTTAAGGAAATTGTGACAAACACGTTGTATGACCTGAGTGATCTAGAGAAAACATAGCAGGCTTGGTGGCCTTTCTGCAGATATATGCCGATCAACCCACTCCAGCTTTTCTCCTGTACGAAATGTTCAGATCTCAACTTCGTATCGACAAAGGTGTTCAGGTCACATATCAAGATATCAAGAAGTGTTTTCCAATGATTTACTTAATCTCATGATTCGTCAAGAGAGGAGAGTAACGCCAGATATACTCTTCAGCATCATGTTGTAGCAACTATTCTTTTTAAAAAATATCTGGAGAAAAGACGACAAAATTTGTACGAATATGTTTTTTGGTTTTTGAACTCTTCCCCTATTAACAATATGAATAAATTTGTTGAATTATATTGCGACCTTTTTCTTTTCAACAAGGGTGGGACGAAAGGACGAAATTTTTCATTTTTGATCGAAGAGTTAGGATCCTTTAGTAAAACGAAAACTGCTAAAATCTTTCGTAAAGCTGCTGAAATCATTCCTGATCCTCGACCTTGTGGACATGCTGCCCGCTATCATGCCAGAATGTCTCCTCCAAAGTTTCAAGAAGCCGAAGAATTAATATCAAAAGGAATTAAATTATCTGAAACTTATGGCAGGGTGAAGAGTATTCACGACAGCAAAGGTATATTGCTTTCCATCATGTTGCGGCACAAGGTTCAATATAATGAAATAAAGGACATAGAATGTTTGGAAAGCTTGGCCAATATTGCAATTTCCGAGTTTCGATTTGCTCGAGATTTCCCTCCAACATTTACTTCTCCTCTACTAGGTGAGGTAGATGTTTGGACTTCTTGTATTCAATGGATCATCCAAGATCATGATTCAGATGTAGAAAGCTGTGAAATACATTTTGAACGGAGCACCGTCATTTTTTCGAACATGTATTAGTGATTCGTTTAATCTTCTTGATATTGTTGATGATATTATGTTTTCCACAGTATCAATTCAAGCCGATTTATCTGAGCTTCGACAACGTACACAAAATTTACGGTTGACTTTGATATGCTTTTTGACCAATGAGGGATGGAGAAATCGCAATAGAGTTTTTAAAAGTCATGGTAATGTTTTTGCCCTCATAGGCAATTATAAATTACCAAAAATTAGTTCAAAAGAGGCAAAACGTATAAGAGCCCAGGTGCTACTTAAATCAAATCGGAATCAGCCTTTGAAAAAAAATGAAATGAGTGAGTTGATGAAATTGTTGAATGATCTTGTGATTGATGAAAAGGAAGTTTCTTTTGCTTCCAGTTTCATATCACTGAGTCTGGAGGGAAATGGGCCAAAGTTTCAATCCATGGAGAGACTCTGGAAGGTGTGCCGTGATTGGTTGGAAGTACCAAATTTGCTGGATCCAAAGCGATTTTACTTTACTATGGTAATGGCGTTCATTCACATTTTGAATGGTGAAGATCGCAATGAATACATTGCTGAGTACAAAAGGATGGTGACTAAACTTAAAGAATTGTCACGTACACATTGTAGAAGTTATCGATTTGTACATTTCTTGAAGAAGAACGGCAAGGGAGAATCGCAACTTGTGCCTGCCTCTGACTACTTAAGCTACAAAACAGAAGATCTGGAAACTGAAAGTTTTTGGAAGGAATATTCTAGACAGAAGCTAAAAGAATGTGCTGGTAGACTTCGTGTTCATACCAAGGGAACAAAAAAGGTCACAAAGATCGAGCTTCTTGAAGGTGGTATTGAACTGCACGTTAACAAAGATGATATTGGTGTTCCAGATAAAGATTTTAATGAAGATTCAAAAGTTTATTTTGTCGTTGGCTTTCAGTTAATTGAGCCTGTTGCAAAGGGAATTACATTCCATCCTTATGAACAGTCTAAGAAAACTTGATTGAATGTTGTGGTAGAATTTGCAAGATTTTTTCGATTTGTTATGTATCTCTTTAATATAAAAAAGGAAACTCAACAATTATGTCATATATATACAAGTATAATATCTATAATGAAAGGGTGTGATTAACATTTCACGATCGTGAGTAGCACTGTTTTAAACCCAATAACATCAGACATTTTTTTTTAATTTATGCAGTTTTTACTTTGCCAGTCGTGTAGTGATGCTTATGGTTCTTCCACGAACGTTTGTATTTAATGATTTTATGAACAAAACTTTTAATTTTTAGAATTAATATACATAATATAATATAAGTGCTGGTAACGATGTACATTGTAACTTTTGCTGGTAACTATGTACATTGAAACTTTTAAATTTTGATAACTAAAAACATTACTATAGTCAATATCGATGTATGTCTTCTATTTCTATTAGTTTCGCAAGATGAAATGTTCGATAAGCGATGTGCTCTTTGAGTATTATTTTAATATTTTTAATAAACGCGCATTTCCAATGACATTCTGACTTATTAGAGTGCACAAACAATACAGGACAAAAAACCTACATAACCACTGAGTTTGCCCGGCAAACTCTTCCTGTGGTTAGATAATCTATTCAACAACGAATGACACAAGTCTGCGAAGAAATTGAGCAAGCAGACGACTTGACGCTCTTGCATAACCATTCTAATCCGACGCTGTCGGGCTTATTAGGAGACGTGAATGTAGACGATGGACCGGAACAGAAACAGTCTCGTCTACAAGGGAAAATGAGCAAATCTGGCGGGGCCGGGTATAAACACCCTTCTAAAGCTAACAACAACAATCTCCTAGAAGAAGGAAATGACGGGAGAACCACTTTGGACGACCTTAACTGGAAAGTCGATCAACTTACTGGCTTGATGAATACTTTTGCTCCTGTCGTAAAAGAGCTCAAGCAAGGTTTATGATGCTGCACGCCAAATGAACGATGGTGTTGATATGTCTGAAGGAGAAACTGATGACGAACATCAACCAACGGGGCTGCTGCTGTAGTTGCAGATACAGCTCTTGCTCTAGCAAACCAAAGCAATGCTTTGGTAGATGAGCTGATGCACGAAGTGACTGAGAATGAACCGACAGACCAACCATTGCCAATTAAAATTTCTAAAATCCTGACCAGCATTTTGTCCACTGGACTAAACGAACAAACATTATCAAAACAGAAGGAAGGGGTAAAACGCCCGGAAAACTGTGACCTGTTAAGAGTTACAAAGGTGAACCCAGAAATTTGTTACATTGCTAGGAAGTCCACCTGTAGCCATGGATGCACGTCTACAAAAATTACAAGAAGCCTTAGTAAAGAGCCGATTTCCCGAACTGTGGGAACGATAAGTACCTCTCTTGTAACTAACCCTACAACACCTGCACCAACACCAGAGGTTATCTGGGTTGGGCTGTCCACATCTATTGTGCTTCTGAACATGTGCCGCAGGGACTTGTTCAAAGTTGACCTTGATGAAAATTACAAGGTAATCTGTAGTAACAAAGAATCTGTTGCTGCAGAACTGTTTGGTGATGATTTAAAGGAACGCCTGAAAACAGTAAAAGAAAGTAAAAAGGCTGCACAGCAAGTGATAAGCCAAAAACGGAAACGCAACGATCAACGGACGACCAGCTCATATAATTCTAATGTGCCTTTTTTTATTCCAACGTCAGGGTGGTCATTTGCAAAGCCAACCCCAACGACGCAACTATCATCAAAACCAACCCAAAAGGAAAGTCGAGACAAGGGGAAGAACACTAAGAAAGCAGTGACTCCTACTCTCGACAGTGTAAGTTCTAGTAAACACGAGTGCAGTTCTTCTATTATATCTGGGAGAGACAATGATTGTAGTATATTTTCTATGTTTTAATCTTTCTTTGCCACTAACTTTTTTTCTAAATTGGTTCTGCTTTCGGTGACTTTGGTTATTGACTATATTCATTGACAGATACAGCAGGATACTACTGCTTGTGAATTTGTCGAAGATAATGCTATTCATTTTGTGTTGACCGGCGAAGCATTACAAATGCTGATTGACAATCATTCGCCTGATTATGAAAAAGATTGGGAACTGCCAGTGACGGTTGTGGAATGGAAAGGTTTGTGAATTATTTATTCATACAAGACTGAATAAGCAAATATGCTGTTGCCATGCCATCATTTCGATGCTTTTTAAACTGAAATATATAAAAAAAAAGTCGTACAGCTCTAAAATTCCCCGAACGACACCCGTAAATTTACTAATATATTGAATAAGGTGTTTTTGCAAAGTTTTTCTGGGTATTTGTTTGGGATCAATTCATGCTAAAACTGTCTCGCACCAGACCTCTCTCACTGTTATATCTTGTATCAGACCTCTCTCAATGTGGTAACCATTGGTTGTATTTCGAACCAGACCTCTCTCGATGTGATTAATTATTACCATTTTTAGATAAAGATGAAGCAACGTTGAATGGAAATCAAACTATATTCATAGACAATCCTTTACCATCAAAAACGATGACACCAAGAGAAGTGAATGTGATGTATTTTGGCGATGAGCTGTGCCGAATTTTGAAGAAGCCTTTAGACAGTAATAACGACAGTGGAAACCAAACATATGCAACAAAGACTCAAAAAAATTACATAGAAGAAAGAGATTGCCGTGAATCGGTGAAAAATGATTGTAATTTAGTAAAGGAAGCCATGAAACACGATAATGATTTGACTATTTGTGAAGAAAATATTCCAATAGGAAATCGAAACGACTTGTCTTCTGATTCTTCCTTAAAAGATGCTTTTGTTGTTGACGACAAAGTATCTAATGATGGTGATGAGATGTCGCAACATGAAGATATGGACAAGGAAAAAATTCAGAATTTATCCCAATTCACCTACAGTCTTTGGACATTTGGCACTTTAAATTTGTTAATAAGAACGTCTGATTGTGGCTTGCTTCACCAACCTAAAAGAAAATCAGGACGAGGCGCTTTACATCCAGTCAATGTATTTATCAAACCTGAATATCAACTTTGTTATGGATATGAAAAAATAACTATGAGTGAAGCATCAAGATGTTGGATACATACTTACTGCAACCTAGAGTCAGTTTGTGTTTGTGCTCGAGTGTCTTTTTTAACTGGAGAATTGTTGAAATTGGATGTTCTTAATCAATCAGACATTTTAGCTCTTTCTTCCTATGATCCTGCTAAGCCAATGAAGGCAATTCATGGAATTTTCACACGACTGCAAAAACTATTGCTACCAGGCAAATACATTTTGTCTCATTCGGCAAATGATTTACACATTTGTGTTTACAATGTAGCAAAGGACGCGACAAAGAAGTCCGTATATGACCTTCATCTTGCTCACTCAAACAATTTCTTGGTACAGTACGATAAAAATGTCCCTTGGGTTCCTGTTGATCCCAACATTTTTCTGGACTGGCATATTGCTTTTAATCGCATTCCCTTGACGTTTCCGCCAGTGTCCACGGACAAATCAAGAAAGGTTCATTTGCAAAATTCTGCTCAAGGAAAGAAAAATAGTAAGGCAAGCAAAAAAAAGAAGAAAAAAGGAGGAAAGCATGTTAATTTTAATGTTGGAATACAATCAAAGAACAATACATTTCAAATAAGTGATGAACAAGAGATAGCTGGCATAGCTGAACGTTTGCGTAGCAAAGCAAGACCAGTTACGTATGATGATATCGATTTTAATTTCTAAATTAAATGTTGGTCTTAAAATGGAGTAACAATGTTAATAGTTCAGTTAAGAAGTGATAACTCAACTGTTTTTTATACTGGTGAAAATTGTCGTTTTATTTATGTATATGAAAAAAAGACAAAGACAATTTAAACTTGATCCCTATAATGTTTTGTACATCAATATGAATATAGTTTAGTTTGCAAATTGTATCAAATTGTGTTAGCTAGATTCCTCAGTCTTGCCCACGTTAAATACGTCATTTATATTCCTTTTTAGCTTAGTCTCTGGCTGCTACCGGTTCCTCCGATATTAGTTATTAACATTGGTTACTATGTAACCTAATAATAACATATCATTGAATGGTCCAATAGATTTTCGTTCTTATTGTTACGTGATTGTTTCAATTTCGATTATTTTCGGACACTTCCAAGCATTTACAATATTGACTGTTGACAACCTGCAGTCTATCGAAAATCAAACGTTTCATTGAGAAAGCCTTGTAAAAAGTAAACTTGAAGGTAAGGGTTTGAATTATTTGTACTAAAATAACTACAATGTGTTTATATTTTTCTATACTGTGCCTGTATTTAAATTTAATACATGGCGAACCGGTGAAAGCATTTTCGCGACGTCTTTGAAAATTGGAAAGACATAACAAGCACAGACAGTGCGATTACTAAGCTGACGAACTGTAAAATGAAATAATATGATCCCCACAAATTGACAATTTTTTAAATAAGCTTTATTTTTTACTATGTATTGCAATAAAATATAACAGGTGTTCATCCACTTCCTTGTATAGAAAGAGTTTTTGAGGCAAAAACATTTCAGAGTTTTCAAATTTTAAAGAATTTTAACTTTTAAGGTTTCAACGACAAGGAAGAAAAAGCGAAATTCTTTGAACGCATTCGAGTAGTTTAAGGAAGCGTCATATTTGTTTTCGTGATATGCAACTTGTTATTCGAAATAACAGCAGGCAATTATAGAACGAACAAATGAGTATGCTCAAAATGAGTTCTTTACATAAATGTTTGCTCAGTACACAGAAATATGAGATCGGTTTCTAAAACCGCTATGTTATACAAGAATTAGTTATTCAGAGTTTATTAATGTACACCCATTTGGTAGAAACATCAAAAGAAAGAAAGGGAAAGAATAAAAGGAAGAAGAATGTCAACCTCAAATGGATCAAAATCATCATCATGTTCTTCCAATGCATCTTCATTTATTGGTAGGTAAAGGCAAAGAACGATCATATTGTTTTAGTAACAGCAGTAGACCATAAATTGTTCACTTAAATTTCTTTTTACTGTTTTACTTTGACTTTTTACGTATTTTGTTTTACTTTTTTGTTTAACTATTGTTTTCATGTTGCTTGGAAATTGGAGTATGTAATCATACAAAAATTGTGAAGTTTAATTTACTTTAATAATTTTTATTTCAAATTGTAGAAAATGATAAAGCGATTTCTAGTGACGAAAATGAAAGGTAAAAGTGTTGATGTTGTCGTTGTATAACTTAAACAATGGTCTTTTTCGATGTACTGCTGCATGTATCAAATCAGTTACAAATTCATTAATTACAAAAATTTTGTGATTATCAAAGTCTTGAATATAGCATCGCTTGAAAATATTGTCAAAATTCAGTTTTAAAGCTGAAAATCGTAATAAATATCTCGTTGGTAGCCAGATCATTGGAATTAGAACTGATCGGGAATAATATTGAGTGACTGACTAATAAGTAGGGTGGCATGACTGGTTTAACGTTTAAGAGAGTCCATGAACGCTCATATGATTCGATATGAATCATTTCATAGGTCAATAGCCAGATCAGTGGGACGATTTTGATTGATTTGAGATGATCTTGACTGATAAGCGGGATGGTTGGACCGATAACAAGTCCAATTGCTATCGTGGAATTTGTTCAAGTTTTTGTCTTATTGTGATTGGTTTGACAGATTTCAAATGATGGCCTACTGAACGCATACAGTCAAGCTTTCTGTCTTAGTGGAATGTTTGATCGTTTCATAGTGATTTACATAGAAAACATATTTACTTGTTTCTATTGAGTTATATGAGAAATATGCAGGAAAGTTAGGGCAACAGGAAATATTACGTGGCAACCTGCAAGTACAAGCACGAAGTGCGAATGTTTCCAAGTAATTTTGAGTTTCTCCCAAATATTCATAAGTATAAAAAGTTTTAAAAATAGGATTTACTGTGAGATTTTGACGCGTTTATGACGTTGTTATGTTATGACAAATATTGTCAAATAGATATTATGGATTACATAAATTAAAAAGTTATAGGAAGAAAAATATTGTGAAAGTAGAAGAGATTGAGTGGAATAGAAATGCATTGGACGTCAAGAAAGGCTTGTATTTATTGATTAGCAGGCTCTCATAAATGGAGAGTTTGAAGGGATCGTGGGAAGAGGAAATTATTTTAAACTCGTCAAGGTCGACACAAGGAATTGTGTCAAGATGTTTCATGCAAACTTTCCAAAACTTTGTTACCTTGGTTCTCCCTTCGTGACACATTTCTCACACTTGAAATCGTTGTTATTTGCAACAATTTTACTGTTAGATAAACCATTGGAAGTCTGACTATATATTCTACCAAATATTTTTACAGATCTTGCGCGCTGATGACATTAGCAACGTTTTCCTAACTGTTCAGTTTTTTTGATACATGCCCCCTGTAGAGTATTTCCACGCTCACAAATCATCATTTCCATTTAAAAAACTCAGCCGAATAAGACTTGTTGTTATGGTCGAGATTGTATGAACATTAATTTTGAAAAGAGCCCCAGCTTTCTATGAGTTCTTAAGAAATAAACTAACTTCTTGGTACTGTCCTGTTTGAGCCATACGCAAAACTATATGATCTAATTTACTAAAGCCGACCTCTCTTATCCTTTTTTTCTTTTCAATATCATGGAATGAAACAAATTTATGATATGAAACAGATAATGCTTGGTTTGATGCAAAAATATTCGTGAAGAGTGTGTTTCAATTTTGTAGTCGTAATATAGATGATGCGCTGTACAGCTGTACAAACATTGTAATTGAGGTTGTGTCTTGTTCTTTGTACTGCGTTCATCTATTTAGATTGAATTATTCAAGACTTATTTGCTTGCTAATGGTTGTTGGTGCTGAAACTTTAAGAAAATTTTTCAAAAGTATCCATGTTAACTGGGAGAATCAGCCATCTGACGCCAGTGCTCTTAAGAAAGGTCCCTTAAAACTGCTTACTGATCAAGAAAAAGCATTTTATTCTGGCAATATCAATGAATGGGATGTGACTTTGCTTTTTAGTGTATTGAGGTTTACCACCAATTGTGCAGCTAAAGTAAGAAGAGATTCAAATATAGACAATGCTTTACAAGACATTGCCACTGTACGCAATACGATTGTTCATGCACGTGATGAAAAAATGAGTGATGATGATTTTGAAAAGCAGTGGGAGAAGCTGAAAGCCAACTTTATTGCCTAGGTTGCTCTGAGACTCAAATTGATGAAGTATCAGTAGGTAATCTTAAAAATAAAGCATATAAATGCAATGTTTAGAGCATCTTACTTGGTATACTATATGCTTTACTTGAACTTATAGATAAAGTTGCTTTATTCTCTTTAAAGCTGTTTATTCGTTCATTACCACGACAATGCACCTTTATTTTTGTCATATTTCAACTTATTTGCATACCTTTCTTTAATAAAGATCACACTGAAAGAAGTTCGCAACAGTACAAAATGCTATTTTTGGAAGAAGTAGCTGTTCGTCAACATTATTAAAAAAAAACTGTTCTGATGCTGAGATAACGAAGGGTGAAAAACAAGAGGAAGACGTGCAAGATGTAATCCCAAATCCTGAGTGGGATGGCTGGATTCAACTTCTTCGTGGAATGAATAATTTTAACCAATCACAAACAAATTTGGTATTAGTGTCAGACGTGATGACGTCAGAAGAATCAGAAAATTTTAAGGTTTTAGCGGCTGTACCATGGAGTATGGTAATTGATTTTGATCCAAATTCTGAAGATGAAGGTTTGTATAAGAGTTTCAATTCTCAAGCATTACTCACACAAGTGCTTTCACCTTTCACACCTGGCAGGATAGGAAAAATTAATGTATTTGAATTACGGAAGAAAATTGACTCCAAAAGAATACTGTGGCTGTTTGCGAATGGAAGAAAAATCGACGATAAAGAAAGTCGGCCCAAACCTCTTCCGGCCTGTGAAAGGCAAGATGTAAAAAATATTGCAAAGTTTTTTGTCTGTTGTGCTGATTCGTTCGATAAACAAAAGCCAATAAGATGTCTTGTTCTTCCAATATCACCTTCAGCGTTGCCCTTCGTCGAAGTTACAATGAAGCGATTTTTTGAACAATTTTCAGATTTCAATGCGTCATCAATTTCCATTGATAACAGTTGCGAAAACTCCAGCTTGAACAAGGACATTCAAGTGTTTGCTATGTCACCTAGTGACTTGGACAAAGGGATGAAACAATTGTTTAATTTTCGTGAAGATTCCGTGAAATATGAGATGCCCTGCTTCCAGTCTGAGCTTCGTGTCTCTTTAACACATAAAAGTTATGTGTACATGAAAGAGTATTTAAAACTGTTCTACATTGGCTGCGAACAAAAGTTCATGTATCCAGATGATAAAGAAAAACAAAAGAAAATTATTGAAGAACATCGAACAAGCTTTCTCTCTGGTAATTCGATCTCGTTTCTCAGCTTGTATTTCAACCATGATGCCAAGCGTTCCAAGGAAAAAGCTATTGAAATCCACATTCAACGCATGATTGATCAGCGTTTGCTAAAGCACAGCGGCATCGTTCAAATTGTTCACTCTCCTGGGACTGGGGGCTCCACAATTGCCAAAGAGTGCTTTGGAACCTTCACAACAATTTTCCGTGTGCATCGGTAAAGCTTTCTGATGATTTTAATTTCGAAGATGAAACAAATTTTTTGCCAGAGTTATCAAATCGAATTGCTACTTTGGAAGATGAATGTGTGGTATCCCCAGTTATTCTTGTAGATGGTCGACGGCAGTGGAAAATCGATATGTTGAGTCATAGTATTGTTCGCTCCTTGAATAGTCTTGGAAAAAGAGCAGTTATTCTTCAGTGCTGTCATCGTAGCAAAGTTTCACCAAACGGAGATGTGCACAAAGTGTTCAAAATTAATGCAAACTTGGAAGATAATCCTGATGATCTAAAAGAATTCAAAGAAAAATATAACGTAAATGATCAAATAGCTCGTCGAGTATTTCATTTTCCGTTACTGTCAATGATGAAGGAATTTTCTGCAAAACTTGAAGAAATTGTGACAAACACGTTGTATGACCTGGGTGATCTAGAGAAAGACATAGCAGGCTTGGTGGCCTTT